GTCAGTGTAGTGCTGCGTTGTGTTATGTGATGTCATGCCCCCTTGTGAAATGTTCTAACTGTTGTTAGTCTTCATAAATCTGTCAGGGTTGGCTGGATGTGCACAAGGACAAATTACAAAGCTACACTCGGCCCACTATTGCACTGCCTGGAGGCGTAGCGTGTTATTGCTTGAAATGTTTAGTTTTCAATTCGCTCTGACTTTGTAGCGTTGTTTGCGCTCAATACGAAAGCGCCCAGAATAATTGAACTCTCCTGAAACGGTTTTGCCCTCACGAGTTTGGGGTCATGATCATTGACGCTCTAATCGATATGGTTGTATATTATCAAACTTTTTGCTGTTCTTGGTTTAAAAAAAATAAAACTTGTACAACTTGAGAACGAATGCAAGTTCTTAATGGCCACCATTTACATGTTTATTAACATTCTTGGAGTTTACTCATCTGGGTTATGTGTCACATTGCAACACCAAGCAAGGGCCGCCGCATTGGCAAGAGAAACATGAACACACTGAGAGCCAATGTACGACAGGTCCAGCAACGAAACAAGAGGCTGCAAAGAAGGCTGCAATAACAGCGTCAGATGAGGATTGTTGGAGTAGTTGAGAGTATCCGCGTTCATGTGTCTCCAGTCGTCGCTGCACTCGTTGAGACCCAGCTTAGGATCAGGGTTGTGAGCCGGTTCGGTCGACGATGGTGCAGCCATAACAAGGCTGTTGGCCTTTGTTTCATGGCCCAAAAGGCTATAAATGTTGTAGGCGACTGCTAAGGTTGCCATCAGTTCGATTGCTGCAGCTTTGGCTTCAGTGTGTTTCATTGAAAGTTGGAGTTTACCCCGAAATTTTTGAGCTTGTAAAGAGGCGAGCCACTTTCTTTTCACGAGGCGATCGGGCCTGCAAAATAGTCTTTTATGAGATACACATTAAAAAAGAGCTCTCAGACAACCTCTCATCTTACAGGTTCGAAGGACTTGAAGAGCATAGTAATTGTGCGCAAGATGCAAACCTGTCAGACAAGGCTCTCGTGTTTATGTCCGAACACTATGGAAGCAGACACTTGGCTGCTTTTTTGCTCATAAAGACACGACTACCAATATCCTACAGGATATTCTTTTCCAGTGCTACAGCTTCCTTGTGGGTGTTGGCCTGGAGCCAGTAGCTATGGTATGTTATTAGGGGAGCCAGAAAAACTCTCTTTTTTTCATGCCTTGTAACTGACGAGAAGCCTCACATAGATGACAATGGAAAACCTCTCTTTTCTCTTTGATGCTCAGCACTTGCTGAAGTGCCTCAGAAGCATGTTATTTAAGTGTGACTTCAAAGTTTGGAATCACGGAATGAAAAGCTCGTACATAAGGAAGCTCATGAAAATGTCTGAAAACTTGAGATTCCTTCTATGCCCAAGCTGAACGAGAATCACTTTAATTGGACGTTTTCCTCAAAGATGTCTGTGAAACTGGCGGCCCAAGTGTTTAGCGACCACTGCGCTGTTGCGGTGTATGCCTTTGTAACGTTGCAACAACCGCCAGCTGCTTCTATTCACACAGCGAGATTCATTGAAAGAATCGACCATCTCTTTGACAGCCAAAATAGCTTGCACAAACTTGCCCGACGCCCTTTGCCTCTGCAATGCATAATGGCTCTGCCCGTGAAGAGCTTTCCAAACAGCGCATAGAGGTTTTTGAAAACCTGCAAGTACTTGGATGAGAAGGCAGCCAAACTGCACTCGTGGCTTCTGCTTGACAATGAGGTCTCTGATGGTGCTCTGCGATCATTTCACAGGTAATTATGGTTTTGCCCGCTTTTTGACCCGCCACTTGAACCAGGATGCACTTGAGAACACCTCTGCTATTATACGTTCAAAATCTGGCTAAAACGCAAACTCTACTTCCGGTCTGTTTTAGGCTGCGTTCAGGCACCTTTTGGTTAACAACTTGTTCAAGCTGACTGAAAAATCAAAATGTGCTGAGGATATGATGTCCCTCCTTGCTACTCTTCCGGTAGACCTATAGGCACCCTCTGCTCCTCTACGCTTGGGAAGCTCAGTTTTTCTTAGCGCGGCAGACGAATCGCCCTTAAACTACCCTTCGGCCATGGTAGAGAACAACATGGTTTATTTTTCTGGGTGGCTTGCGTCAAGCCTTTTAAACGTTCATTCTTGTGTGGGGAGATCTCAGAGATTTGAGCTGAAAAAAAAATGCATGTTTTTCTGACGGAAACTTAGTGCTACTGTTTTTAGGGCAAAAGGCGCTGCTGACTTGCGCTTTCGAAACCTGTCAGTTCCCTTCCCTTTCACATCATTCGTTGAGGTTTGTGAGCGTGTTTTCGAGGCGAGCATCAAAAACCTCATTTCAAAAGAGGGCGTAGGGCGTACTCTGTGTACATTTACATCAGCAGGTTCAAACATCTCTTGCTGTTTGTAACCACTATGTGTATAACGATTTGGTTTGTTTTCTAGAGCCAGGGTACAATGGTTTGCACGAAAAGGGAAAAAAAAAACACTTACCTCGCTGATGCACCAGCAAAGTGTGAAGCTAGGCAAAAAGTGCAAAGGCTCAGCACGGGAGACAACACAGAATACACTTTCAAAACAATATATGTGCCAAAAATAATCCCTGGAGAAGCGGAACAAGAAGGACAAAGGACAAACGCAAATCTTCAAACACACCTAGGTGACTGGTGCGTGACCGAAAAAATCCGCCTGGTCCGAGCATCGAACCCGGGACCTCTCCATTTTCCAGTGGAGCGCTCTACAGGTTGAGCTAAGCAGGGGTTAGACGTCAGTAGAGCAAACAGAGTTTATCAGCTGCCATCAGTCTAACACCAACAAGGGTAAAAGGCTTGCATTTTAAGGTTATGATTAACTTGCAATTAAATCCCAAGGTGCAAGCGAGCAGGACAAGAATGACGAAGCTTTTTATGAGCCGCCACCAGTTTAACACCAACATCATTTCGTCATTCTTGTCCAGCTCGCTTACACCTTTGCATTTAATTGCAATTTAAAGAATATATGTGCTTTTCAAGCCTTTGTATGGTGCGAAATACTTAATTTTCGTGGGTTCGATATTTCACAATGTGTCGCTTTCGAGAAAATCTGGCGGCCGCAAAATTTCATGATCTAGAGTGATATTTAATGCTTTCATATCCATGGATGATTTATTTTTGCGATTTTTATTAAATTGCGAAATTCTCAAAAAGTAGGTCATCGCCAAAAGCTAGGGTCCCTACAGTGCTTTGGGTTACAAACCGCTCATGCGGTTTTGTGACTGATTCAAACTTGAGGTTTTAAGGCCCAAAGAAACACTAGCCTATGCTGTGCAGCGTACTGGAGGGCTCCAAAATAGTTTACGCGTACAACGAAGGTTCCAGAGTACGCACCACCATCGTACGCAAGCAAAAAATTTTTCTAGATTATGGTACCTTGCCCAAAAACGGCAAAAACAGCTGTTTTTTCCGTGTCTTCTAAAGTGTTGAAAGGCTTTAAAATTTGTGATGCTGATGGCTGTCTATAAACTGACAATGCCCACACAACAGGCAGCCAAGTGTACAGTGTCTAATCTGTTATTTTGTCATAATGTGGCTTATGTATTGATTTGCTATTTTTCTTCCTTAAAACTAGATACTAATTATATGCTTCTGATGACTGTTCTGGTTGAGTGGTTGTAAGCAGTTGTAATTGAATAGAATGCTAGTGCTAGATTCGACTTGCATTAGATTCGACTTGCATTTCACTCGAGTAACGTTATTGTTATTCACTTTTTTTGTGAGGTCTGTCACTTTAAATTCGCTCCCATATTTCCGAAAAAGCTGAAGAGAAAGCAAAACGCGGTTCTTTCAAGGTAGTTCAGCTGGACAAAAAGAAATAATTCTCGTAGAGAGCTGTGGGCCAAACGAGGCGGTGTAGATTCAACATTTAAAAAAAAAACAGAAAAAACCCGAGACTGCAGGCAAGAAGGATTACACACCGAAAAAGGCTGTAGTATGGAATTCCGACACAAAAACCTTAATTATTAAACTTGAGCCCATATAAAATCGCTCTGTCCGTTTTGTTACTAACTCTTATCATTATCATACCAGTGTCACTGCATTAAAAAAATCATTTCCATGGGACTCGCTTGAACTTCGCCGGAGGTTATCAAGGTACTCTTTTCTGAATAAAGTGGTTCGTGAACGTACCGGCATTGATAAGAACATCTACCTAAAACCACCTACTTTTACTTCCCAGAGATTAGACCACTCGAAGAAAATACGGGAAATATCATGCCGCACATCTGTTTTTCAATCGTCATTTTTTCTACGAACAATAAATCAGTGGAATAGGCTCGCCGAAGCTGTGGTTTCGGCTTCGGATAAAAGATTTGATTTTCTTAAATCGTTACTTACACGAGAATGATCCATGACTAATGTATTGTTTCGCATTGTGCTGGTGTTAACAGCTTACAGTAGATACGTGTGTGTTGTGTTCAAATGTTGTTGTTTTTTTTTTTTGTCTGATTACGCATTGTATTACTTGTAGCACATGTCACCATGCATTGATATTTTTTGCATCTCCATTTGTGTATTTGTTGTGTTAACATGTAAGTTACCCCCTACAATAAGGCCCTCAGGGCGAAATGTAGGTAACGAATAAATAAATAAATAAATAAATGAACATTGCTTGGTACAGCTTTGTTTGAGACTTTATATTTTGACTAAAAATCTTTGTATAAGCTTTGTATAAAAAGCTTTGTATCCCAACTGAAAGTCCTGAACTTTCAGTTGGGATTGAGGTCACCGTGTACGGTGGAGGTGAAAACCAGTGTGGGTAGGATTGTATAGAGATCAAAGGATGACCTTGTGACGTCGGTGGTCGATGGTTAGATTGTGGGTATATAAGACTTTGAGGAAATAAACGCAGTAGCTGAGTTTGAGACGTTCTTTTTCCCTGTCTTTCTTCTTCGACTCCGTTTCCTTTCTTTTACCAAAGTCTCGGGTTTTCTACATAATGATTTGTATGAGACTTTGTAAAAACCGGGACTGCAGGCAGAAAGGACTAAACTCCTTTTTTGCCTGCAGTCCCGGTTTTTAAAAAGACTCGAATTTTCGTGCTGACAAGCACAGCGAAGTGACGTCACGTTTTTCTTGCGGAAGTGACGTCACTTCCTGCTTATTTTTCGTTCCGCCGGAGATGCTGTCACGACACATAGATGGCGCTAGCGAAGCCGCATGAGCTGCCATTTATTCGACATGTGGGCTTCTATAGACGTTTGCAAGCGCCGTTCCGTCTTAGCCTCGAACCGCGCGCCGAAACGACGCGCACTCTCCAACAGGGCGTTCTCTCCCCCGTCGGCGCAGCTAGCGGGGACGTCTCTCCGCATTTTCACTTCCCGGCAACATTGTGCCGTTTGTTGACTTTACGCTCGTTGCTTGGCGTGGGGACTGCGCCTTTTCGAAAGTTTCTTCCTCGGTGCGCCTTCTTTTCCGTCACTTCGTCCATAGTGCACGATGAATAATCCTACAAGGTCGTCAGGAGTGCACTGCGCTGTTTTCGGTTGTTCGAACAATCATCGCAAGAGGAACAATCAGAGACAGCAATTGTGCGCTGCTCACTTGCAAACGCCCTGCGAGTGTGGGATAGTTAAGTTCCACCGTGTCCCCAAGGATCCCGAACTGAAAAGAAAGTGGCTCTCCGCGCTGAACCGCAAGGACTTCAAGCCTACGGAACACACCCGGGTAAGTTCGACATATCTTTATCACTGTCGTGATCTTTTGCGTAACGCTCGTGCCTGATTCCAGGTGTGCTCGGCGCATTTCGTGACTGGGAAAAAGACGGGCGAGGATATCGTGCCGCAGCTTAACCTCGGGTATGCGCGGAAGGTAAATATGCCACTAATCGCAATAGAGTCCCATTTCTGATACACGCAGTGTGCCCTAAACGCTTGTGCACTGACAGGTTGTCGTTGGGAGACGCCGTTTGGTGCGTGACGCAAGTGAGAAACCGCTGATCACTAAGGTAAACGTCTGCATGGCTGATTGTAGATTCTCGCTTATAGTATGTGACCTCAACGAATGTGATTTCCGTTGCAGAAGCAAAGACTCTCCTCACAAGCTAGCTCTGGAGCTGTAAGTTGACCCACTGCAATATAATTGTTATCGCCCGCGCTGCCACAGGGGTTGTGCCTGACACGAAGTCATATTAGCTTCAGAGCTTGAACTTCACATGCATAGGATGTGGTGTCTAGCACTATTCTATTGCAATGACTATAAAAAGTTGCTGCATTCCTTTCAGGTCACCGACTGTACGCAACCCGCCGAGCAGGTCAACGTCTCGGCCTCGACGTCACAACCAACTGCTGCTGAGCACACGGTAGGTTCAAGTTAAGCTAGAGTTGATGTGAGCAGCAGCATGATCTGCTGAATGCGATAAACATATCTTGGGCGGTAATCTATTGCACTGAGCATGCAAAGCTGATGCGTTCCTTTCAGGTCACTGACTGTACGCAACCCGCCGAGCAGGTCAACGTCTCGGCCTCGACGTCACAACCAACTGCTGCTGAGCACACGGTAGGTCCAAGTTAAGCTAGAGTTGATGTGAGCAGCAGCATGATCTGCTGAATGCGATAAACATATCTTGGGCGGTAATCTATTGCACTGAGCATGCAAAGCTGATGCGTTCCTTTCAGGTCATCGACTGTACGCAACCCGCCGAGCAGGTCAACGTCTCGGCCTCGACGTCACAACCAACTGCTGCTGAGCACACGGTAGGTTCAAGTTAAGCTAGAGTTGATGTGAGCAGCAGCATGATCTGCTGAATGCGATAAACATATCTTGGGTGGTAATCTATTGCACTGAGCATGCAAAGCTGATGCGTTCCTTTCAGGTCATCGACTGTACGCAACCCGCCGAGCAGGTCAACGCCTCGGCCTCGACGTCACAACCAACTGCTGCTGAGCACACGGTAGGTTCAAGTTAAGCTAGAGTTGATGTGAGCAGCAGCATGATCTGCTGAATGCGATAAACATATCTTGGGCGGTAATCTATTGCACTGAGCATGCAAAGCTGATGCGTTCCTTTCAGGTCACTGACTGTACGCAAGCCGCCGAGCAGGTCAACGTCTCGGCCTCGACGTCACAACCAACTGCTGCTGAGCACACGGTAGGTTCAAGTTAAGCTAGAGTCGATGTGAGCAGCAGCATGATCTGCTGAATGCGATCAACATATCTTGGGTGGTAATCTATTGCACTGAGCATGCAAAGCTGATGCGTTCCTTTCAGGTCATCGACTGTACGCAACCCGCCGAGCAGGTCAACGTCTCGGCCTCGACGTCACAACCAACTGCTGCTGAGCACACGGTAGGTTCAAGTTAAGCTAGAGTTGATGTGAGCAGCAGCATGATCTGCTGAATGCAACAAACATGATTGCATGCGCATCACTACTGTGTGATGCACGATAGTAGTCTCAGGCTGGCAGTTGTACTGCAGTGACTAAATTGATCAGCGACGGCTTGGATCAGGTTGCCATAAATGGCAGACCGACCTCGCGCTGTCTAAACCCCCAAACGTCCAATTTGCATTTTTTTTGTGGTAAGGGAAACATTTTCATATACCAAAATATGTAAAGCTACAGCCCAAGTACTTCCAGCAAAATGACTACCTACCGAACGTTGCCAGTAACTGCTTTTATAGCTTTCAATGGAGACGCCGGCACTGCTGGGGAACTCTGTACAAGCAACCTCGGAGAGTGGCTCCTTGTAGTCTTGCCGCCTTAGCAGTTCATTGAGCCTCAGCAATGCTAAAGCTTTTTTAAACAATCTTTCTTTGGTGGTACACTGGCTGCCATAGACGCCCAAACGCTCCGATTGAGCTTTGATTTATAGTGAAATGAGGAGTAGCATAAATTGAGGAGGTTGTCACTTTAAAGAAACAGGGGACGGGGTGATCGAGAAAATAAGAAAGAAAATAAGATTATTCATGGCACAGTCGAAGCCAAGAGCATGAATAAATGATCAGGGTTTCATCCCTTGCATAGGGCGGAATAGCAGAGCTAAAACCATATTCCTGCGGGGCACGCCAAACCTCTAGCTTAACTCTCAACGCGGCGGTAGAAGAGAACGCTGTAGCAGACGACACGAGCAGCAAGATCCGACTGCAGCACCGTTAGTTCTCGTGACCGCCGCCTGTGCCACTCGCCTCCGCAGGCGAGAATGGAGAGCTGTGAAACCGAGCTTGCTCCAGTAACGTTGCTTATGGCTGCCCGTTGCCTGACCATTGTTGCTGGCCACATTTTCCAACATCTTTCAACATCGTCAGGGCAGCGTCTCATGGTTGCGAAGAGCAATTTCGGAAAGGGTCTACTTTCAGTACAGTGCTCCCCTCTTTGTCCTCCTTGGTTACGTCACCACACCCGTGACTTGGAAGAGAGTGTTAAAGTTGAGGGGTGCAACACACATGAATATGTTTTATTTTTAAATAATAAAAACAAACACACAGAAACAAAGAATCTTTTGTTATCCATCTGTTGTATGGCCTCTTTAAACTAGTTACTTTACTTCTATGACTATTAAACATGATTCGAGACAATTTAAGCACAGGCTTTTTCATTTTTGCACCACTTCGATAGTTGCTATTTCTCTTTGTACTGAATATTGTTCAGTTGCTCTCCAACAGAAGCAGCCTACTTTTTCAATTGATAAACTCTGATTTTGTTCACAGACAACTGATCACGGCCAAGTTCGCCCGGATGTGTGCCACCAGGGGATCCAGTGGGAAGACCCGTGTCTTTGCGACCATGCCTACTCGAGGCCCACTGCTCCAACTGCGACGTTTGGTCCTCATGGTGGTCGTAGCATTGAGGCGCGGGACATTTTCTTTTATACCGGTCTGCATGCAGATGTCTTTATGGAGCTGGTGAAAGTTGTACCAGAGTTTGCGACCACAAACTTCATGATGTCAGTAGAGCAGCAAGTTTTACTAACTCTGATGAAGTTGAGGCTGGGCCTTTTCTATGGCGATTTGTCTAGGAGGTTTGGGGTTTCAGTTTCCACCGTAGGCAACATTTTCCGTGCCATGCTTGCCACACTTGGGCGGATCCTAAGGAATGTTGTTGTGTGGCTCTCGAGAGAGACAATCTTCAGGAATGTTCCGCAGTCCTTTGAGGAGAATGGTTTTGCAGGCACTACTTGCATTTTGGATTGCACTGAGGTGTTCTTGCAGCGACCAAAAAAATTGCTCGCTCGAGCACAGACCTACAGCTCATACAAAGGCCACAACACTGTGAAGTTTTTGGTGGCTATTGCACCTCACGGATCAGTGATGTTTGTGTCCAAGGTGTACGGTGGACGGGCGTCTGACAAGCATATTGTAAGAGACTCGGGAATTATTTCCTACTTTGAACACGGGGATCAGGTGATGGCCGACAGGGGCTTTTCCCTCGATCCCGAAATGGAAGCAAAGGGTGTAGTACTCAATGTGCCAGCCTTTACTCGAGGGAAGCTTCAGCTGTCAGAACGAGAAGTGACAGAGACCAGAAGGATTGCGTCTGTTCGCATTCATGTAGAACGGGCAATAAATAGGATCAAATCCTACAGGATTCTGAAACAGGCACTGCCCATCCAGCATCGAAAGGTTGCAAATGAGATAGTCTATGTATGTGCAGGGCTATGCAACCTAAAGGGACCTTTGATCAAGAAGTGAGCTTTTTTCTTGAGAATTCTGGAGCAGTGAGGTCTGCATGGCATACCAGTTCCGAGTTATCACTTCTCTATCCTAGAAGCAATTGAAACTTCTACAAAACTGTATGCATGGAACTTTTCTTTTGTAATTGCCACTTCTTGCATTGCTTTTTTCGCCCCAGAGTTCCTTTAGATTACATTTATCTACACTATGTGAGTGTTTTTTTATTCAGTATTCATATATTTGAAACATACTTTAACACTACATGCTCTCGCATAACACAATGGCCTTCAAACCCAAGCTACAAACACGCCCTGCATAGACTCCAAATGCTATGCGCATACCCCTTCTAGTAAAAGTGGCTAGCAACATTTTGTCATATAACCCAAGTTCAGTTCCGCAATCTTGTCTGTTCTTTGTGTTACTATTTTTTCGGGCATGTTCCTACCGCTACCTTACGCAGGTCCAAGAGTCCACTGTGTATTTCTGTTGTGTATTAACGATTGCACATCTGCCAAGATTACATTTTTTTCATTATCTTTTGTGAAGGTGTTGTGTGGATAGAGCTAGATGGCCTGTCATAGTCACAGCATTGTGCTTGAAACTGTTTTTTTTTAATTTCTTGTTTTTCCTCTTATCTGAAAACTGTTGTACAAGCATGGCCCAGATTAGTTCAGCCAGTTGTAGCTAACAAACAGTGGCTTGACTTGTGTTAAATAATAGATTTTGAAGTAATAGGCCATGTTGAAATAACAAACTACAGATTTTGAAGTAATAAGCCATGGTGAAATAACAAACTACTCAATCAATACCACTGAAAACCATGGATAAGCGAAGCATCACACACATTGTATTGCACAAAACGACACAGTACACTGACCTGCCCAATCACATCTGTGCAAGCTGCTTGTACACATTTGAGAGTGAAATCTTTCCAGAGTTGGTGTCATCAACAAATGCCGGCAAAAGGCTCTTAAAGTAGAAGTTTCTGACCCTTGGCAGGTGGCAGTTCATAAAGTCCTTGCTGTATTGCACAACTGCAACCTCGTCGTGACCCTCGGACCACACATAGAAGTGACAGACGAGATTGCCAGTGCAGTGCATCGCAAACTGAACCTGGTGGTAGTACTTATTTTTTCCTTTGGGGTCCAGCACGAAAACCCCATTGCCATTCTTGCGGACATCATAGGTTCCAGATTCTAGTAACGCTGAGCAGTTTGGTACATTAGGACACTTTATCTCCAGAAGAGCATCAAGTTCATCGATGATTCCATCAGGGCTGGCTGCGAGCCATGGCAGCTCAGGACAGACCACCAGTCCTACTTGTCGAACAGCACAGTTGTATCTGTGCATGAACTTGCTCCTAGCTTTGGGTTCGCTGCGGCGGCCATGCTCGGTTGCTTTGTTCCCTCGAAAAGTCGGGTGAAGAATGTCCTGCACAGCTTTGGAAGGGTTGGTTGATGCCCTCATAGGTACCCTTTTTATCATGGACGATGTTAACCGCATGCGGCGGCTCTCGTGCCAGAGTGTGCAGTTGCCTTGCTCTGCCGTTCTTTTGCAGAGTAGGTCCATGGCAGGTGCATGGATGGCTACAAGCTCGTTGTATGCCTTTGAGCAGGCGGAACAGCTGTTGGGAAGGGTCGTTGCATCTTCATGGCTGCTGTGACCGAGTGAAGGCATTGTATCGCACTGAACTGCTAAAGGGGGTGCAGGGTCTCGTGGAGGCGCCATCAATGTCTCGTGAAACAAGGTCCCCGAGATCTCCATGAGCCCAGCAAGGGGGCCCTCCTTAATGTGCTGAAGCCGCTCCTCATGCGTCTCATACCGAATCACATCTACAGTCCCCTGAATTTCTGAGTTTTGTTCTTCTCCAAACGAAATGTTATCTAGGCTTGCTGCAGTTACATTACGTTTTGTGCCTCGGTTCCAGGCAGCAGCTTCGTCAGTGCAAGCTGTGCCGGTCATCCTGTTCGTAAAAGCGTGTTCTAACTTCCACAAAATGGCTCCCACATGGCTACACACCTTCGCTTGTCCTGCCATGCAGGAACAGCCTCCTGTAACCACCCGGCCAGTGGAATGCATGCATACCCACGCCTTGTGTGGTGCAGCATTGAAGGATTGTGACCTGCCCACTTCTGCCTTGAGGTAGCACAACTGGTCACTTATTCGTTGACCAAGCACAGTTCCCACCAGGCCACTTGACAGGTAATTATACGAATCAAGGCTCTTGTAGGCTCTAACCTCCTGAAGATCGCAAGCCTTGGAGTGAAGCAAGTAGAAGATGATGTCCGGCTTTTCTATGGGTGGCCATGATTTCATATTGTCTTCCCAGATTGACACTTCCTTTGGATGAACGTAGGGCACAGATCCTGGAAGAAAAACCAAACAATAAATGCTTGGAAACTTTTGTATAAGGACAAGATGAATAGTTGACTTCTGAGATAGAGTGGAGAAACTGTCTTCAACAATATGTTACTTTGCAATAAATTGTTCTTGTTGATTTGGCACAGTTCATGTCTTTCTTCACAGAGCTATTCAATAAGGTGTTTACGTCATTTGTGACCATACGGGTCAGTTTTCATTAAACACTGCCTTTGAACAGAATTTGTGCTAGCAATTGGCATTAATGGAAACTGCTTGTGTGTTGCACAGCAAAAAGAATACTTCTGTTCGCCGAGAACAACCTGCTCTATCGCTTTTTTTTTTTCTGTCACTGTGTAACATAGGCATTCAGCAGCGTGGTTTAAAAAAAACTGCATATGGCGCATTGTTTACACAGAAGCAAAAAAGAAAAAAAAAATTGGACGTCTGAGAGTTGTTTAACAGCCTGAGGGTGGTCTGCGAGGTATCGCGACGTGGTTCATTAAGTACGGCTGCTAGCCTAAGGTCTCAAAGATGCATCAGGCAGTAGCGATTACGCGTGCCGGTACTATGCTCGCCGAGGGGCAGGGGCGGGGTCGCACTCCGGATCCCTAGGTTCTGCAGCGTAAGCTTTTGCTCCGCGAGCTACGACCCGCAAGCAGGCTCGGCCACCGTTTCCCCCATTGTTCGCAAACCGCTTTGCAACAAAATCCATAAAGTGACGATCCACAGAAGCGAACATTCCGTCATGTACGAGACTTTTCGCCCTCGCGAATATTCAGGTCCGTATCGTTTCGTCGAGACTCGTTTCATCGACAGCACGCTTAGGGAAACTTCGTCGCGCGTACATCACTGGGACCCGCTGCCGACTACCGGCGGCAAATAGGCGGCTCATTAGAAAAAGTAGCTAATTCGAGCTGTCAATGTAACGAACTTTCGATAAAACGATCTGTGGGTGAACTGGTTGTCATCGCGAACACTCCGTCGTGTACAAGCAATTATCATACCGGAGTGGCGCTGAAGTGCGCGGCACGGCGGCAGTTAAAAGCGTGAACGGCTAGGTCTTGGGATCCTAAAGTCCTGATATGCATTGCTAATATTGAAAATGAGTATTATCGTGCGTTAGGCATTGCGTAACCGACACACTGTATGTACTTCCAATGCTTCTAACCGCGTCGCTGCCCCTGCGATCCCGCAATGCGCCCTTCTGGAGCCCAGGAGGCACGGTACCCAGCAGTCAACAAACACGCTGCTACAACTGTGTTATGATATTTATGTAAAGAACGATTGCACACGCTTGCCGTCAAGAACCAAGAAATCCAAACCATCCCAGGCGTCGCTCGTGGAAGCAGACGCCATTGCGCCTTGGCCCGCGGTGGCTCGCTGTGAAAAACGAGCTCCACAAAAAAATATAGGGGGTTGTTTACGGCCGCAACCAGATACACAGCGATTAAGTAGATTTTGGGATCACTACCCACCGGCCAGAGACGAAAATAAAATAGCTAAAGCTCACAAAACACATAAAGGTTGAGAACACCGAGACGACTTGCATTGGGTTTGCTGGGCGACTGGCGCGTTTACCCACACCAGCACCGGCGGAAACACGCCGCACGCTAGGCGGCGCCAGCATAATTCAAAATGGCAGCTCCCTGGAGCCTTTCTTGCAAATGTCTATAGAAGGTTCGCTACCATATGTACGTATACCTTGGCGAGCCTCTGTACACTTCCAGTTTTAGCGCATATTTAGCAGTATGGGGACCCCACAATTTCGCATGCATATAGAATTAGTGGTCGAGTGAAAGTTGTATACGCCAAGAATTTTGTTACAACTGAACTTAGTTTCAAATTTCCCCTTAAGTAACACAATTCAGAATTTATAATTGTAGAATTACCCGATTGTGGTGGCGACAAAAAAACGACAGGAAAAAAATGAAATAGGCCCGTTGAGACCTCTTTCCTTCTGATTAATATTATTATTAATGTGCGTACTATATTAGTATCAATATTATGCGTTCCCCAGCGTAGGTCATGCGACATGGTTACTTCCAGATATTCATATTTGCTGATCCTTACTACTGGGCATCCGTCAAGATTATAATCAAATTCAATTCGCTTAGTTTTGTAAGAGACTACCAGACAGTTTTTTTCGAGATTAAGTGATAGTTGCAACGTCTCAAAAGCAGGTTAAAGAAGTATTTAAATTATATTATTCAGCGGGATTTTTAACTTCAGTAGGCAAAATGACGTCATCGGAAAATAGTCTTGCCTCGACAGATATATTGAAGAGTATGTCAATTATAAGCAGTAGGGAAAATATCGGTACGAGTACCCTCTCTTAAGGTACACCCGATTTGACGTCGCACATATCCGAGTGTTTACGCATAATTGCTACAAATTGCATTTTTTTTCCTGCAGGAATATTTCTATCCATCTGACTAAGCTGGAGTTTTTTTTTTGTATAGGCCTTAATTTAAGCACTACTTTTCCTTGTTATTGAAAAATAACGGCAACCTGGCCTCAGTAAACTCGTGCGCGACTTCCCCTAGTTGAGTAACGTCAGGCAACCCTTTGCGAAACCCTTGCTGAGAGCTGTTCGACACCTTACAATCACCCGAAAGATAATTTATATGACTCGATAATATATGTTATAGACGTTTCCCGCGTGTTGATGGCAGGGAAATCGGCTTGTAATTGTTCATGGAAGTCGCTTTATCGGATTTCATCACGGGTACAACATTATCAATCTTCCAGTCGTTGCGTAATAATTCTTGTGGGCAACCTACAGGGATTTAAAGCGTTGAACCAGGCGGCCTGCATGCCATATCGTTCGCAGTCATTTCTACCGCGAGGGGGAAGAGCACAATTGAACAAATGAACAAATGAGCGGCGCTCCGCCGCTGATAAATGGCCGTCGCAGCGGATGCACGGCGGTTCTTGGGATCGCAGCGCGAGCGATGGCAGTGAATAAAGGACTACGTGTTTTCGAGCCGGTGCGTAGTATCATTCTCCGGGACAGGTAGCAGCAAGGGAATTTCAACAACCTGAGGTTAAAAATTTCTCAAAAAGAATATAGCATAATTTCAGGGAGACTCAGCATATCGTCGTAGAAAGCCATTTAATATTTTATAATATCCGGTAGCTTTCGTACAATTAAAGCTAAGCAAGAGTTCTGCAATCCCCTCGCGAGATAACTGCGCGTCGGGAACGGGAGGAAACCTCTTTAATTTGTTAAGCAATGGCTTTGTCCCAAAGTCAGAGAAAAACAGGGTTAAAAAGAAAAAAGCTTTTAAAGCACTTGCGTATTTCATAATTATCTTCAATTGTGCGACCGCTAATATAATTTTTTCCTAGACCCCCCCCCCCCCCCCCTTCGTTGGTGAGAGGTGCCTTCAAAATTCGGAAAGATACGATTTCTAAAAAGAAAGCATCGTTTGGTTGTAATATTTATGTTTCGCCGCTTTAATCAACATTTTAGGGTTTTGATTAACCATACCGAGGCTCAGACATCCACCTTGATTGGTTGTACCTCGATTTGGAGCCCGACCACAATATATTCTACTTTAAGTATAAGTACTATTCCTATTTATCCAAGGATTATGAATTGCTTCTTTATTTTTTGTTTTGTTGCCACATACTTTTCTAACCATTTAATTAAAATCCTTTTTCACAAGCCATTAACCAATACAGCCGGATTATCAAACATTACCTGCTAGATAAAAACGTAATTCGCCCAGAATAGCCTCATTATCAGAGCTATTGAGATTGTTGTAAATAAAACGTATTTAATCTTTCTACCGTGAATCCTTCCATCGGGAGATGTAAAAGCACCATGCATGGTCGAAGGCGCCGGATAGCACTCTCTACTCGCAAGTGTTTGAGAGTAAATGGTCAGTAACGGAAAATAAATCAAGAAGCGAACTAGATTAACTTTAAATTATCTTGGGAATTTTGAACACCGAGTCAGATTATATAAATTCATTATTTCCAGTAAAGCGCAGAATAACGGGATTTCACGAGATGTTGAAGCTAAGCCATCCCAATCAATAATCAGCCTGGTTAAAGTAGCCAGCAATTATAACTTTCCGAGAGTATGCACGCAGCTTCCCTAGAGTCATTAAGTTTATTGACTCATTTTAATTCCATTCCAGGCGGTCGATGGACAACTGCTGAGATGAATTTAAAAATACCCAAGCTGGGTCAATTTCTAATTACGTCGAATATAAGCAATCTTTAACAACTATAGCGACGCCATCGCTTCTATTTCCCGGTATTTTCTAGAAAGTTCGTAGCTTGATGGAATGATTTGGCAATTCAGCACGGAAGAATTCAGTCACGTATGAGTGATAACAAAAAGGTGTTGGTTATGTTCAAGAATAACAAGCGCCAGATCGACAACATTATTTACTATGCTCATGTCATTCACGTTTATAA